CAAGAACATTTAAGAATTCTGTTTCTAAACCGGCAGCCACTGCACTAGTCACACCGTCATGTGTGCTAGAGAGCTACTTACCACCTTTCAGCATCTGAAAGCAGTGCAATAAAATCTTCCTTCCCTTTTTGCTTTAAAAGCTTACAAGGACACAGCCATTCATTTCTTTTTCAGCCACATAACTTCTGTGAAACAGTCTTCCAGAGAAGACATCATGAAAAGGAAGCTACAGGGAAAAGGTGACAATGCATACCTATTCCTGAGGAATTCCAACTACCTAGAAGCATTTCATCCTGTAAGCAACATGCCACATGCACACTTGCAGTGCAAGTAAGGCATAAAACAGGATTTTTTGAGATGGACCCCAGATTTCTGCACGCAACCTTAACAAGTCACCCCAAAATATTCACTCTGCTCCACATTTTTCAGGAACAGTGAAGCAATACCTTTGACCCTGACAGCTGCTGATCAAGGAGGTCAACGTTAGCAAGCCCCATCAGAGCTCAAACGTAGATACACAAATGCAGAGAGGAAGCCCACTGTCTCCTTGCAGTGTCTGCATGGAGATGGCCGCATTTCGGTCGCTGACAGGTACAAACAGAGCCTTTGGCACAGTCTGAAGGATCGTACCCTAGATTTCCTAGAGCAGAAAGCCATGACTATTTTGTCATGAGTATCACAGGGATACCTTATTCCCTGCTCAAGCTGTACAGAAGGTGTGAGGGAGCGAACAAGAACCCTCAAGAAGTTGGATGTCTCCCTGACAAAATCAACTGCCATCAGACACACTTTTGCAGAGAGGTGCACACAGCAAACTTGTCACCAGGTACTCGGAGCAGGGCTATGGGTGTCATGAGCCACAGACCCCACAGCAGTATGAGACCGGAAAAGTTTAACCCAACCTTTTCAGAGCTTTAGGACAGTTGGGTTTGAAAGTACCAACACTTCAGCAGGGTAAGGGAAAGACAGAGAAAGTAAACTAAACTTACACTCATGGCAGACTAACTTTCAGCTTTAGCATTTGGTCCAGAAGGACTGAAAGTCTGCGTACACCTGCACAAAAAGCAGACTAAAGATGACCAGGTTCTCTCGGAAAATTTACAGCTATATGATCCACATTATGCACAATCAGACATCCTGACACAAAGAGTCATCCACATCTGCGCTGCAAGAAATTCAGCAAGACCAGAGTGGCACGAAGGCCTGGATTTCTGTGTTAACACACACTGAAGAAGGAGAAATGTTTTAACAATGTTCCCCTGTAAAAGGAGTCCAGCAGAGACCCCAGGATCTGGATGTCCCAGGAAGGTCAAGCACCCCCAATACAAAATATGGTACAGGACGTATTTCTTCTGTTGAATCATCTATGGTAGGAGGCAGTGGCTCCAAGAGAGAGGACATTTAACACTATACATATTGCTTGGTAGGAAATCAGTACAGAGCACAAGTTTGGCACCATTGTGTCCGAAGTCAGTGCTAGAAGGCTACAGTCTAATCAGTGCAGACTGATTGCACCAAACCCCAGTACTCTTCCTTGCTCTCAGCCTCATGAGCCATAGCCACAGGAAGCGAGGATTTCATCAACTGAATTGGGTCAATGGCTACTCACCACCTCAGCAATTACCACAAAAGGCCAGGAGACGCAACAGTGAAAAGTTACATCTCAGACTTGACACTGTGCCATACTATATTGGGAAGCAACCTTCTAATATTTCCCCAGGGCTCAAAGCCCCGAGGTATGGTTAGTGCTAGCCTTAAGATCTGACAGAAAGAACAATATCCAGTATGAGTTCTGTAGTTCTCTTAGGAAAATCCTGGATGTCCAAGACATACTCACCATAAATACAAGTACAGTGAGCAACAATCCGATATTTGCCCATTGACCCCGAGTACTGATTCACTCATCACAAGTTAAGTAAAGCCATGTCTGGGAGTGCTTAGGAATGTAATACACAAATTGGAAAATGAAGAGACCAGCACCCTATCTTTCCAGTATGATCAGGAAGAGCTGAAGCAGCACTGCACCCTGTCTAACGTTCATCTACTGTGCACAAGCTTCTCTTTACAGTTACTGCAAAAAACAGAAAAAGAAGTTATCGTGTCTCAAACAACAAAACAAATGCATAGTCATACTTTTACCAACTGCTATAATCCACAGACAAAGCAAAAAATTCATAGCAAGGAATGTAAACTGACACTATGGTGTGCTGCTACTTTCAACTTCCTATAGTGTTCATCAATAACAAAATAAAGGATAAGTAGTCTAGTGGTTATAAAATTTAGAGAAACTCTTTGAAAACACAGTCTAATACATGGAACATAAGATTGTTCGGTACCATGCTGTATTTGAAACAAAACCCAGCACCACATATACTTTGATCATAATGAAATACTTTGCTCAAACAAAACAAAACTTCAGCTTTCAAATTGATTCTTGAATCAAGGTAATCAGTCTCCAGAAATCTAAGGCTAGTTCAGTAAGTCATTAAAAACAGCATTCCAGTCAGAAGACATTTTCTGCCCTACATGTTTCATTAATAGAGAATTGAGAAAAACTACACATCAGTCATTGTTTTATGAAAAATAGCATTATCAAACAAACATTGATTTTAACTCTGCAAATGCAGTCAATAAAGGCAACTCTAAAGACAAAATGCTTTGATTTTATATAATGTCATGGGGGCACCAAAGCTGTGATTTCAATGAAAATAATTAAACTGATATAAAAAGTCTAATTCCAACAAAAGGAGAGGTTGCCTCCCTCCTGTCCAGGCCACTCGACCCCACTATGTCTTACATGCCAATATTATGACTTATCTGACCTCACAGAAAGCAAGGTCAGGGAGCTAAACAGGTTTTTCTGCAGCTCTAGTTTCCTACTAGTCTGCCATGGGGTCAGAAAAATCCAAGTGGTGGCACAAGGAAAGCCAAATTCTGCCACAAGACTTCTTTCTGCAGGCAGCCAAACATCAGATCTGCTTAGAGTGGAGTTTTACAATACAGAAATCTTTAATGCAAACATGAAGGGGTGGAAAGAAAAGCAAAAGGAAGAAAAAAGTGATAATTTTAGAATGTTCTTGAAGAAGCCAATTCTTAGTTACTGATATTCCAAGACTATCAGTGAGCATGGAGAAGACTAGGAATTGCTCCTAACAGTGTTGCAAGTGAATGAAAAATTAGGTAGCAACAAAATTAAGTGGTCTGACCAACATAGCCACGCAGAATTAAACACCTGCAATCACTTTAAAGAAATGTGAGCATTTTGTCCACAGGCACTCAAGGACTCTATGCAATGCTAATAGGAATTTTACTTTTGATTCTTCAGAGGGTTGTTAAGAAAAACCTGAAGCACACAAGCGTATGTTTTGGACTTTAAACTACCCAGCACTGTCAAGTTCCAAGTTAAAGTTAACCAGACTTTACCAGAGTATTTGATGCTACAGGGAACAGCATGAAGTAGACGTTCAAACTTCAGGTAATGACGCGACTTGCTTCCCATTTAAAATATCCTTACCTCCCACGCAGACGACTTTGTTCTTATTTGCAAGTCTAAGGTGTGGATCAGCTGTGACATTTGATGAATGGCTTGCTACCGTTAAACAAGTGATCTTATTTCCTTGCAAAAGTAGCCTCCAGAGCAAGCCTCTAATTCTAAGCATCTCAAACTGTCTGACATCTAGGCTATCAAAATATTCAAAGAAATCAGTATTTTACGTAACTATTTCATGATGATTTTACATATACATTCTGTAAGTACAGATTTAGATAGACAGCTAATACATGAAACTTCATCTGAAAGAAATTAGGAAAACTAAAAGACATGGAAATCATCTGAAAGAAATTAGGAAAACTAAAAGACATGGAAATCATCTGAAAGAAATTAGGAAAACTAAAAGACATGGAAATCATCTGAAAGAAATTAGGAAAACTAAAAGACATGGAAATCAAAGAACCATTCTGAAAGTAAATTCTAAAGTTTTTAATTATTCAGTTCTCATGTCTACTCTCAAGCATATAAAAAAAAAGTACTAAAGTCAGTTAAGATAACACACAAAGAATTCTCACGTGTTTCATCAGCCTTCATGCAGTTTTTACAGACAGTGAAGTAGTTTCAGACCTGTTTCGTTATGGATTAGATAATGATCTAAGTCGGTATTGCTAGATTCTGAAATACAAGATTGAGCATGTGCAGCCGAAAATTTCACAAGGCAATCATCTGCAGGCTGAGAACAAGCAAGCACCTATAGCTAGTTAACAGCACAATTACTTTTATTTACAGAAACAACCATGCTCTCCCGCTAAAGCCAAGATTCCGCGAATTCTGAACAAGAATAACCAAAATTTGTAAATGAAGATTTTTAACTGTGCAAGGATTAAAACATCTTCACAGAGGAGATAAAAAGCTCCTGCAACTAAATAGATATGGCTTAGGGAACCAGTTGGTCTACCAGCATTGTTTTCAAGGAAACATTAAGTTTCACAAATCTGAACAATTCATTCCTCTCATTTTTCAAAACTACTACTAACAATCCTATTTAAAGAACTTACAAGTTAAATTCCTGAAGAGCGATAAGGCCAACAACCTTTTCAGACACATGCCACACCTTTATTTTACTGATCAAAATCAGATCAAAAGGCTTATTTGCATATTCAGAGCACTGGTACAGTCAAAAACGTTCAGACTGCAGGAAGAATAAATAAGCTTAGGACCAAATTCAAACTAGTTTTAGACATGCCTATTGATGTTCAAATTTAGGAAGTGTACTACTTGGAATTCTTAACCATATACAAAATAGTCATTAATTTAGCCTTAAGTATTCTATCTTCCTAATACTCAGTATCTAGTCTTAGCATTACTCTAGTCATATGCATACTATTCAACAGTTTGGTTACACACACACACACAAATATTTAATATTTCTACATTAAATTGCATTCAATTAAGTATTTGCTTGAGCAGTCTACCACAAAGTAAAAATTTCTTATATACTAGATTATACCTGCAACTTTGTCCCGAATAAGTTTTGCAGATTCGACTTCGCCAATACTGCTAAATAGACTCCGTAACTCATCTTGCGTCATGTTCTGAGGGAGGTAGTTCACAATTAAATTTGTTCTACCAATATCATCCCTGCAATCTTCAGCCATGTGATCTTCATAACCATTAGACATTTTATAATATATCTGCAAAGAGAAAAATCTCAAATAAGTTCTAGATCTTTGCATTTCAATAAACCAAGCTTTCTCTACCTGAAATAAGTTTGAATGGTTATTTTAAAAAACTGAGAACAAGCAACTGTTTCAACTACGCATTTTTTCCACTCAAAACAAAACATTATTTGTTGAAAATTCCAGAACAATTCACTCTTTCAAACTAACAAGCATGGCATTTTACAAAACTACGTACCATTAAAGAGCTCTTGGGGGGGGGGGGTGGTGTATGTTAATAAAAAGCATCGAGACAGATTTTGTACACATTCCTGTAAACACCAAAGTATTCACAGCGGCCGAGTTAAAAAATCAGGTTCCCCATGTCCAAGCACTTGACTAGCCAGAATCAGAACTGCCACCTCAACCTTAATTCCAACCTTATGCCCAGAATTCTTAAGACAGAAAGAGGAGCAGCAGCCAGATCTACTAGACCCAGTTCAGTATTTCAACTGGGGACTGTTTATTTTCTAAATGTTTTCTCCTTTACACATTGCTTATCCTGCACCTTAAGGCCCTGTTATTGTTAAATGGTTGCCTCTGGGTGACCGCTTAATTGCGTATATGAAACAGATGAATCTATACTGGAACACTAACTTTGGTGCATATTGAGTATTTGATAGAGTTTCTGGTTTTGCACCTTTTTAAAGAAAGCCTTGCAAAAACACCCAGAAATTCCATCGCATGAAGAGACTCTCTGCCTTAGCCATCAGCAGGGACTGAACCCTGACATTTCAGATGCAGGGGACATCTACAACTCAAACTCACAAGAGACCCAAGCTGTTCTTCCTTCATGACCTGCAAGAACAGTAGTGATTTTAAAGCACTTTTACAACTACTTTGAGATTGTCAAAGTCAGGATACCTAAACCCTATTCCTGCAAGAGGAGAGAAACGAGGTCTAGCAGATTCAGGAAACCTAGACTGACATGGAAAACACCACCAGCAGGAAGCTAATTTCTCATATGATTCCAGACTCTGGTTCTCAAGTTCGCTGCTGCAGATTTGTTCATCCTCTCAGTCCGAGAATGCTAAACATCTCTGGCTCCAAAACAACAGCTTTGTTTTAACAGTTCTTAAAAACAGCTGTGAAGCACACAGAATTAACAGAAAAGCTGTTAAACCCCTGAAGTTAATTCATGGCCTCCCGATGCTCAGTTCAGCACTCCTGCTCTTAAGTCATCATTATTTGTGCATTTTACCACATAATCCAAACACTTCAGCCTATTAGCAGCATACAGATATGTCAATTTACACCATAAAGTTGCAATAATGTTTAAGTATGAATGCATTTCCAATTCAGACACCACCAGTAAGGGGCATAAGACCAAACACTTTTATTTTTGGATGACATTAAGGCAGACTTGCAACTCTAACTCCCTTCTGAAAGTTTAGTGTAAACCTTCCAAGTTCAGCACAAAGTCTGCTTCTCCTTGAATCTCCCAGTGCCACCACAGAAGATTTAATTACCACAGGCTCAAAGACGAACTTTGTGTTTACTTTACTAGAACTTTTGGCCAATACACTCATTTGGTCAAAAGAATAATGCAAGATGCTGTACATAAGCAACTACTATTAAAATTCCTCTAGCTGCAGTTTGCTTGAGAACTGAGCACATTATCTGAAGAAGGTATCGCTAGCACAGTGCTAATCTTGCCTGAGGGGATAATCAATCCGAGCTGAATTAGAACAGTTTAAGATACTATTGCTTCTCAGCCACCAGTAAAACATCGGGTCAGGTGTTCAGAGGATGCAAAGGCTTCTCGATCATCTTGGTGCAGAGTAAGCCAGCAAGCCCTACAGTGCCACGTAGTTAATACTGGCTACATTTGCCAATTTATTTTTGCATTAAGATGGGTCAGAAGCATTCATACGACCACATATGCTTCTCAAGTAAGATGATTTTGAGTTACAACCATTAACACCACAAGACAACTACATAGCATCAGCTTCCAGATTTTTTGTGAAGCTACAGACACCGCTGCCTTCTATGCTAAGGGCCTGAGCAGCAATGGCACGCGGCTCTATTTTACGGATCAGGATCTACTAAAGGATGAGCCTTTCCAGGGACCACACCGCTGCTGACAACCAGATGTTGAATAATGGAAACCACTACTGACAACCAGATGTTGAATAATGGAAAAAGTCAGGAACAGCAACTAGAAATCCTGAGTCTAGAAAGGGAATGCTGCCTGCAGGAAGGGACTTTCAGTCCCTTCACCAGTAGCTATTGTTAAGTCATGTTTGGCATTTATTTCATACTTTCTTCTTGTGCAGGTCAGATTTTTTTTTTAAATGGCAATAACAGAGTACACCATTTTAGAATAAGCCGTGACTAGACTTATGCTAATTTGAGATTTAACGGAAATCTTTTTTTTTTTTTTTTGCTTTAATATGTGTTGAAGCATTAACAGCTAGCAGCTTATAGAAGGAGAGAACTTGCTCCCCCTCACCCACTGGTTAGCCTTCTACCCCCCATTTCTCTGTTTCAAGTGTCAACATGAGCAAGCCCCAGCATCCTTCTGCCCACAGGATAACCAGTTTGTACCATGAAAGCAATGGAAAACTACATCAGGAGGGAAGCACTTTTTGTTGTGTCAGCAGTTTTAACCTGCTTTCCTTGCAGCAAGATAAGCACCAGAGCTAATGCCAGAAGATTGGAGAGCAAGAGGAGAAACTGCAAAGCTAGAAGCAGGGGAAGAGACTCAACCCATCAGATGATTTTAAGCTGCCAGGTTGTCTCAGTTGTACTTTGAAATTATGTTATTAAATACAGGTTCCCTTCCAGTTCTGTCAGAACTGTCTGAGCACAACCTCAGAAAAGTTTCCTGCTCTGTTAAACGACACTCAAACAGCTGAACCTTCTTTGTTCAACATATCAGAGCTATAAAACCAGATGACTTACATTTTCAGAATTGTTTTAATGGAAGGCAACTTTGCTTGCCTTTGTCACATATAAAATTCAAGCCCTACAAGCACAACACACCAATATGGTGATAAGTATGGAAGTTGTACAGTACAATTATGAATATTTAGTAAGCCAAGGAAGAAAAGTTGAGGTTTTTCTAGCTTTACAAGAAAAAAGTTCAAATTTCCTTCACTTTAACCAAATTTGCCCAAGATAAGATAGAAATTCTTCCTGCTGCCAAGATTCTCCTCCTGCCAAGCTTAAGAAGTTGCTATATATTTTAATGCTTTCCAAAAACAAAAAGTTAAAAAGGAAAAAATCTATTTTCCTTATCCTCCAAGGTGTATCTGCTGCCTAAAAAGGAGGCACCACAGCTAGCTACCAAGCACAAAAAACTCCCTAGCATACCATGATGGCAAGTTACCAGACTTCTATCTGGCATTAAGCAAAACTGACAGGAGTTTGGCAAGTGGCTATCAACTTTAAACCATTTTATCACAGCCTCTAACCTCACTGTCTGCAATACTTACCATCTATATCTCCCCATGATAAAGAAGGAGGGCCTAGGGCACTGTTGATTCAGAAGCAATCAGAACTGTGAAGGAAGCCTTCCATCTGCTTTTCTTCAGACGTTAGAAAAAAATTATAGGAAGCCCTTGCATAAAGGCCTAGCAAACATTTTCATGGGGTACCAGGAACAAAGCATGCAGAAGCGATAAAGGCATAATAGAGAAGAGGGAAAGGAGTGGGGTGCCAATAAAGAAGATGTTCCTTTCTTCCTAATCTTTCACCAAGCACTTACACAATCTACTGCAAGACTAACACTTTCTGGCCATCCTGGAAGTTAGTGGGAAACCACTTCCTCCACTGGTGGTGAACAGTTCTCATGCCAGTGAGAACAAAAAACAGGCCCTGAAGAACTGTTAACCTTTGTGTACTGAAAAGAACTCCAAAAAGAAAAGGCGGTATAAAATGGTCAGTATGGATGAAATGAGAAATGCTACATAAGAAAACAAGTTTTTTATCCTGTTCTCACTGACATACGTTGAGGGAATCTCCTGATCTTTCTTTGCCAAAGAGGGAACAATCAAATTATACCAGTAAATATTCCAGACTTGAGAACCAGGCCTAGAAACTAACTTGGATCCGTAACTTCATTAACTGACGTTTGTCAATCCACGTTGACATAAATCAGAAGTCTGAACACACTTACATTTTCAGTGGACAGGTCAAGGATGGAAAAAAGGCCTAGCAGCTCCATTTGGGAAGGCTACCTGTAACGAGACTGGTACTTTGCAGCCTTTCCAAAAAAAGGCCTTCAATTCTATGTCCCAAAAAAAGGAAATTTTAGGACTAAGTTCCATTGCACTGCAGTTCCTAAAATGAGATTTTTTTTTTAAAAAAAAAAAAATAACCAAACCCTGCAACAGCTTATTTTAAAAAGGCAGCCTTCTTTTTCTTCCTCATGTAAGATGTCCTCAAACTTATGATGCCAAGGATGTATCAAGCAACCAACAGGAACCGTATGTACAGCACCCAAATCTTCCATTAATTCTGGAGGTGCTCAAATTCACATAGCCCTACACTTTACTACCTGCTTCAAAGATTGTTCATTCACCAACAGCTAGCTCTGCATTCTCAGGACTGGACTGAAAAAGCTCTCCAAGGTATTTTTTTTTCAGAAACTTTGCACTGACCATGACAATCACCTTCTCAAAGGTGCACAAAATCCCAGAAGGTTTAAAAGAAAAATGACACAAATGATTCTGGCAACAGAGCAATGAAAGGTTTTTACAAGTGACACTCAGTACCTCCGTCCAGAATTCTAGGATACAGTGCTATTAGGTCTTTCACTGTGAGATGTCTGCTAAGAAGGAAGACCTGTACGAACCTGAGGAGACAATCTGAAACGGGAACATTGGCAAGATAGATACCGGTCTGTCTTCAAGACCAGGCAAGAGGCTTTAGTATACTTTCACCTTGTTCACAGGTCTGCAAAGGCACTAGACCACCACTGGGATCACAAACTTCAATGCAGACACCTAAACAGATGACAATATCAGCATT